ATATGGTGGTTTTACTGAGTATTCCTTGCTTCCTGGTCAAAAACCCGAGCAGCATCAAGGAAATTGGTTGAGGGAACCACCACTTCAATTATATCTTCATATTCCCACTCAGTCAAGAGGGCTGATCCTCGGCCTGTACTGGTACAACAACCTGAAGCAGTGAAACCTAAAGATGGGAATTGCAGACTCTTTGGTATACCACTCATCAGTTATCATGTAAACACGGAGCCAGCACACTCGCATAAAACTACTATTGAAACCGATCAAAGGTCTGTACAAATAAAGGGTGTAAATATGGCAGATCAACCACTTCCTAGTGTTGAGCAGGAAAAACCATCCCAAATGTGTCAGCCACTTGTGAGGGATTGCCTTAGGAAAGTCCAGGGTGGTTCAACAAGGAATTGTACCAAGGTCCGCACCTATTTATTTGCATATATTTGGCTTTTAATGCCATGATCATTCTGGGTAGTGTTAGATTAATTTGCTTGAATGAATGTTGTGATGATTTCAGGTTCATAAGCGGAGGATTGCTCTCGGTAGGTCTGTGGACCTTACGAAGTTCAGTAACTATGAAGAATTGATTGCTGAGCTGGATCAATTATTCGAATTTATTGGTGAACTGAAGGCAAGGAACAAGAATTGGTTGATTGTATTCACTGATGATGAGGGTGATACGATGCTTGTTGGAGATGATCCATGGCCGTAAGGACTCTTTCTGGGTTTTTTTTTTCTTCATGTTCATTATGTATTAGCCATGAACTTTGTTGTCAGCTTTTGTTGTTTGTACTTGCATCTTCCATTTATTTGAATCATCTAGATGCATCAATGCAATAACCTCTTAAAGGGAATCATTCCCCGTTTGGTGCTTGGTGCTTGCAATTGATTTTTTTTTTTTTTTGTAGCAAATGTATTTATGATTTTATTATAAAAATAATGATTTGCGACAGTAAAAAAATAGTAGCTAATTTTATTTTATTTTTTGCAACGGAAAAATAGTTGTTGCAAAAAGTAAGTTAGGCAGTCGCAAATAGTTTGCGACTGTTATTTTGCGGTCACAAAAAATATTTGCCACCCCCACATTTGCGACCCTCATTTGCCGTCGCATGGGCCGTCGCAAAAAGTCTTTTGCTACAGTTTTTTTTATTATTTGCGACGACTTATAGCGGTCGCAAAAAGTACTTTTTTTAGTAGTGATTTGGCCAATAAAATCTGGCCAGATGCTGAATTTTCACTTGGTCATTTATGGGTGTATAATGAATCCACAAGTCACCTCATTAATTTGATTCAGTGAAATTTTACCAATTAACCCAAATGCATCATGTTTGCCATAGTCACCATTTACTAAAAGCTAAATAAAATAAAATAATTGTCACAGTAAACACCAGTCCCAACCTGTTTGTCCTAATCTGCTAAGGTTGGGCCACACATCCGTTAGAGATTTGTGGACGAGGAACAAATTTGTGGCCAACCTGCAAAATGCAATTAGAGTGATGGTTTTTCATACATTTCACGGTTTTTCATTGGAGTTATGGCTAATTTAGGTAGGGATGCATACATCTGATCAACTATATCTTCCATTCAATATGAAACTGGAAACAACTAGAGATTAACCAAAATTCTATAAAGATAAAGGCAAGAAGATTCCAAAACATAACCAGTCTAAAGCAAGAGGGGTTGCCAACTACTAGGTTAGGAACAATCATTGCTGAGTGTGATGCTTCTTTTCACTTTATACATTGCATATAAATTTTCAAACAACCAGTTTCACACTATTTTACAGAGTTGGCAATCTCGTGTTCATGCTCCCACTCCATGGTTTGGGCACCTGGGCCCCAACAGCTTTAACTCATCACTCTAAAGAACCATTGCAGTGCATTTGAACTAATGTACTGCCTTATGGCTGACATACTCTGATGCCCAACAAGGTTCACACAATAATAGACCATGCACTATTTTCCTTGGCAACCCATGTATAGAAAAAATTACTCACGCATGTCTTCCAAGAAAAACACCTTCAAAATTAAAGTGAGTATTGGCTCGTAAATAAATAAAAAATAAAACAACCCAAGCCACAAGTGCATTCACAAGAATATGAAAGCTCACCAACTTACCAAAACATGAGGAAAATATTGGCGAAATGACACTGATTACTTCTATCAGAGATTTGCTTAGTTTCTCTCTCTCTCTCTCTCTCTCGCTCTCTCTCTTCTATGAACCTCTTTTTTCTCAGTCACTCTCTTCCCCCTTATCAACTTTGCCAAACTCACCCAATCCCCACCATCAGGCTCCCTGTCAGCCACTCACATCTCTCTCTCTCTCTCTCTCTCTCTCTCTCAAATCCTATTGCCGCACAACATCCATAGCCACTGCAACATAATCCCAACCACCATCAGGCTCCCTCTCAGCCATAGCCATTAATCCCAACCACCATCACAGCCATCCAAACCCCCATTCCAGTTCTACCACCATCCATAACAACCATTACCACAACTCAACCACTCCCTTTCTCTCTCCTCTATTGCAGAACCAATACACAACAACCCATCTTCACACAAACATACTATTCCCTCAACAAACCCAGTTTTGGCGACAATTGAATAGTGAAGAATAGAGCGTGGGGTAAGACGATGAGAGAGAGAGAGGGAGGGAGGAGAAGACTCTGGTGGTGATCAAGAATTGACTGATGTTGGACCACTACAAGATCAAAGGGTCTGACAACTTTGATTCTAGGAAAAGGTGATGAACAACGTTGATTCCAATCACTAAGGGTGTGCTTAAGATAAAGTCCATCCTTCAAAGCAATAACTATTATACCTTATTGTCTAATTGATGGTTATAAAAACTGATCATTCCATTATATCATGCCATTGAGTTCAAGGCATCCTAAGCTCCCCTACTAAGGAACCAATACAACAATTGGAAGGTAACTCAACCATATCAGCTATTAAAGCATCCCCAATCCTAAGCTCCACTACTAAGGAACCAATACAACAATTAGACCGTAACTCATAGCCATATCAGCTATTAGAGCATCTCCAAACCTTTCACCTTTTAAATTTAATGAAAAAGTGTTAAAAAATTATCTCTTATGAAGCACCGATATTTCAAAAACAAGTGCCGTATCCGTATCGAACATACAGACACCTTGGGGACATGCAAATACATCGAGAACACAAATGGGACACACTACATGGCGTGTCCCATTATTTAATTAATTTATTTTTAAGAAACACACTGAGAATACACTACGAACATGTCAAATTGTCTTTTCTCCTATTTTATTTAGTGCTTTTGACGAGTATTGAATTTTTATTTTATTTTATTTCTTAGATTTAAGTACTTAATAAATTATTCATAAAAAAAAAATTAAATATTAAAAAAAAAGAAAAAAAAAAGATATAACCTATAAGTGTTAACTAAAAAGTGTTTTTTTTTTTAATTTTAAAAAACAAATTGAGTTAGTTTTTGTTAATATTGATTGTTCGTGGATGTAATATTAATCTAGATAGCAAATAAAAGTATTTGAAAACATATTTTATTGATGTATCCCCACTGTGTCCATGTTCCCATTTTTTTGAAATTACCATCCGTGTCGGCTTCCGCTTCCGCTTCTGCTTCCACATCCGCATCCGCATCCGCATCGCATCGGTACTTCTTAGATCATCTCCAATCATTTCATCAAATGTTCATCAAATCAAGAGAGAGCCATTTTTTTCCATCAAATTGAGAAATTCATCAAATTTGAATTTGACAAAAATTTAAAAAGATGAAGCCTTGAAGATGATATTTTTTCATCAAATTTGATGAAAAGGAAAATTTGAGAGAAAAGTTGAATTTAAAAAATATTTTGATAAAAATTTGATGAAGAATTGGAGTAGGTCATATCAAATCAAATTTTTTACTCAAAATTTGAGATCAAATTGGATGAAAAAATTGATGAAAGGTTGGTGATACTCTTCTCCTTTTTTTTAAACCTATGCTTCCAATCAAAGACCGATGAAATTGATTCTTGTTTTATAATAGAGTTTTTTTGCTGATAAAAAAAAAAAATACTATCTTCACATCTCTAGGAGTCATCTAAATATTTTGCCTATTTGTTCAAAATCCCATATAATATTTTTTTATAAGAAACAACAAATCATTGAATAAATAAACAAAGGACAAAGTATCCTTCAAACATAGCAAACCTACAGAAACAACCTTGCAGTGCGACGGATAGAATGCAACCCCACAGATCACAAACACTTCATTCATCCCAAACCAAGCATGGTTAAGGGACCTTTTTCAACTTTGGGAGTGTTATGCCTACTCTTGGCTTTCTCAATCATCAACTTCCATTTTCACAACTCAGATAACTGATTACTGTTCAGACGGACCTATTGCGACAAACAATGTAGTGTATTGTATATCCATGATTTAAATCTTGTCGCAACATCATAAGGGAAAATAAAGAGAGGGCAGAGGGAGAAGTAAAAAAAAAAAGAAGCTTTTGCTACTCACGACAGACTACATAGTCAGTGCCTAGTTGCCAAGAGAGCAGGCAAGTATCCATGAAAGGTTTCCTAGGTCAGTCAATAATGCGCAGTTTTTGGACAATCATACCCAATTAAATTAAGATTTGATTCTAGGATTGATCATTATAACAACCAATTAAACAGACCAAAAAACACTATAAACAACCATGTGGTTGCATCAACTCAAACTGCTATAATCGTAAACATTAAACACCCAAAATTACAATAAATTCACTCCATCTCAACTATATACAAAACCCAGATTCAATTATCCAGCAGTAATCCTATCAACAAAACCAAACATGCATTCCAAGTAAAGTATTTCCAGTTCTCATCCTTCTTGGGTAAATAATTTGAGCAGAAAAGCTAGAAAACTAGCCTAAAACAAGTTAAATTCAAGACATGAAATCAATATATTTGATCAAATCAATTCAACATACATGCAAACATCCACAATTTCCCATATTCAATCAAAATTGAACTCACTTCTTGTGCCGACGCCCCCGTTTCGCCCCCCAATCCTTGAGCTTCGCAATTGGGTATCCACACCGGGCCCGAAACAGCAGCACCGCCCGCCCATTCGGTGGCGCCATCTTCCTCAGCTCAGCCCTCAAGCACTCATAATCAGGGTTCCCTTCACTCCCTCCTTTCCACGGCAGCTCATCGATCTCTCTCACCGCCGTCGCAGCCGATCTCAAACACTCCTCGGCCTGCAGCTGCAAATCGAATTCCATCGCCTTCTTCAACGCTTTACACCTAGGGTTCTCGCACGTCCTCGATCTGTACCCACAACAGATCTCGAAGAAAACAAAGACGAGAATGAAAAAGAGCAAAAACCCAATTAGGTAAATCACAGCCGAGGAGGAGGAGGAGGGGGAGGAGTGAGAGAGAGGAGGGAGGAGGAGAGAAAGGGACTGGAAGATGTAGGAGAAGTAGGAGGTGATGAGGAAAGTTCCGGAGAAGAGGCCGAGGATGAGGATGAGGATGAGAATGTCGAGGGTTGCTGATGGAGAGTGTTTGCAGAGGAGAGAGAGGAGCAATGGGTAGTGGAGCTATGAGGGTCCAGACATAGAGCACGGCGATGACCCACTCGGACACGATACGAACCCAAACCAATGTCCAGCCAACATCGATCAGTTCCGAGCAAATATCAAAGGTGAAGTTTATATTTAGAAACTTATTTCACGCTGTTCGCTTATGTTTTTAGAATCTGTTTTCTAAACCTTTTTTTTTCATATGGTTTCTCTTCTGTTTGTTTAGTGAAAATAAACACCCAAAAAGATATTTTCACCCTAGAAGGAGAAAAATTATATGAAAATGATGAACCTATAACAGACTATTAAGGTTTCTAGATATTTCGAGTACCTGACTTGGGTGAAGAAGGTGGGGATAGAAAGGTTGTTGTAGATCCTGCACGAAGTGCAGAGTAAAGAACCGAGAGAACTGTTGTCAGCTTCCCGAGAAGAAGCGTACTTGTGGTTACTGCTGATTTGTTGTGGAGACCGTGGCACACATAATCTCGAGGTTCAGAAGAGAGGCTTCCATTCACCTACCTGTTTACAATCATCATCATAACCCATGTGTAAGTTTCAAATTCGAGTTCTATTTCTCAAAAATCAAGGGTAGGGCTTCTCTTTGTTATGAGCTTCTTAAATTTGTCAAATCACCAATTAATTTGCAGCACATCAAAAGCTATGACCATCTTTTAAAAAATGAGCGCTTTAGGAACCAACTGATTTTGTGTTCATGGTTAAAAAACAAAAGGAAACCAGTGCCAGTTATATATCGGGACATGATGGTAGAGGGGCTTAAAGAAACCCAAAAAGACTTGTACAAGAGAATACTCAATCTGTTCAGCAGAATCAGCAAACAAAATGAAAATAATAGGTACATACAAGGTCGTAACTGGGATTTATCAGCCAGAAGAGTAGCTTCTCAAAAATTCCACAAACATCCATTGTTACATCACAAACCCATATAATTAAAATAGTGGCCGTTAATACCAAGAATGTATGAAATTGCATACTGAATATCTTGCTCTGTTGGACTCATATAATTAAACCCATATAATTAAACCCATATAATTGTTCTGTTGGACTCAGTTCTGTATTTTTTCTGTGCATATCTTGCTCTACCTTGAGGATTTTTTGTTCAGGTCTTCTTGCTGCTTCAAAGTTCTGAGGTCTGCTTTTCCTTTGTTGAGGTCTGCTGCTGGTTCTGAGGTCTGCTGTTGCTTTGTTGAGTTTCTGAGGACTGCTGTTCCTCATCTTTCTCTGCTTTTCCTCTGTTTTCTTATTCTTCTCTGTTGGTTTCTCACCAACTAGGAGTTAGGAGCTTTGTTCTAGCTCTTAGCTCCTTTTTATTGATGTATTTTTCATACTCCGTATGTTTTCATCAATAAAACTCTCTTTTTGCCGTTCAAAAAAAAAAGATACTAATTAGAGACGAAACATTTGTCCAGGCAAAGCTGGTAACACAAAGGTGAAAGACTATGATAGCTCATTTCCTACGTGACTAAATGACACAGTTCCTATAATTAAGTCGTTATAAGATCTAAAAAATGTGTGACATTTGGGATGCATGAGCAACCCATGAGCCTCGTGCCAACGCATTGGGATACTAAGCATAGTACACAGACCTAAAGAATGATTGTCATCCCATTCACTGTCGTCTTTTAAGTTTTTTGTGCTTCCTTCTTGTTTGACTTGCTACTCATTTCAAAATTTTATTCAAGTTCAGTCATACAACTCATACCATATCCCTTGGTTTAATTTTTTTTTATTAGTATATCCCTTGGTTTAATCTTTACCAAGATCTCTTCAATTCAAAAGAGGAAATTAACAAAAGCAACCCCCCACCAAAAACAAAACATGGTTATGCATCATAAAATTGTTCTCAATATTTTGGCCATTTTCCCTCAAGTTTGAGTGGTTGGTTCCTTCAACGGCAACAAGGCAACAGGATAGTAGAAGACAAACATAATATACATGAAGACATAAAAATCAAAAGCACTAATTAAATAATGGTTTACAATAATGTCAAGAAATGAAAGCATTGAACCACCAACGAAACAGATGTTTCCATTACCTGTGGATGCAACGCAATAACAGCAAATGCAAATGCAAGAATCATGGTCATGACAAGAAAGAAGACGTTGAGACCACAGTCTTGGCCAGAAGGATTGAACCAAATAAACAGAATTCCTGATAACGTAAATGCTATAATGTAGCAAACAACTGGTATAGCAAGTAGAGCATAATACCTGAAAGCAAACAAAAGAAGGTTATAATAAGCCAAACAAAATCTAGGATAGGGACATTGATGACATATAACAACTAGAATCAACCATTTCTGCTCATCTTTAGCGACCCATGCATCTTTCCATGAGTGTGTGGCACTGGCATCTAATAATATATGATCACTAGGACCAATAAAAATAAACCTGCTCCAAACTCTTATAGAATGCCTGCAAATAGGGTGATTTTGTAACAACCAATTATGAATTAGTCTTCTGGAAAACAAGTACAATTTTTTACAGTTTCAAATAGAGTTGGAGGAGATGGGTGGGATGGCAAAAAATGACAATGAGGACAGGACACCATGTGAAAAAATGAGAGCCAACTGTAGCCACTGATTAAACTATACTTATGGTGAATTATAAGACTTCTAAGATGCCCCAAGCATGTTGCACAAACCATAAGAGGCTACTCCATTCTAGACAGAAATTCCTCCTATGCACAATGACAATCACAACATTGGGTCTCATTTTCCCAATAATCCAATTATCCAATTCTTCCAAAGGGCATTTCCGAATAATAGCATGGGAACACTTTTTTTTGTTACTTTGCTAATGCTGCATGTGACATACATATATCAAAGATAGTGTCAAAAATGCTCCAACTATCAAGCTTAGAACCAACCAAAAATAAAAAACAAAAGAATTAAATGCTCCAAAACAAAATGCCATATATGGAGGTAAAGCTGACCATAAATTGTTATGACTTTGTATGGCATGAAAAACATAAGGACGGTGAGCAAAGCCCAAATCACAAGTGTTGGTGATACTTACAAATAAAACACTAGATAATACACAAAATAAAAGTTACAACAATTAATATAAGGGCTGAGGCGCGGGAAATTCGCTCTCTTTAAAGAGATTCAAGCCCTCCGCGGTTAGGCAATGCCTCACACCGGTGCAGCAGAAAAACCTTGACTTGTCCCCCCAGGATACAATAGCCCGACTAAGTCGTATGGTTCACCAATACTGCATAATTTGTTGAACCCAAAGCTTTATCACACACACCCTTTTTATTTGCCTGATAATTTCACTCAAGACATAACAACACAACCAAAACTTCTTCTCTCTTATGTGTCTCTAAAGATAGGACACAAGTTAATATATATAAATAGGTGGGCTTATTAACCTAATTTCTCAAAGTTACAAAATTACCCATCTAAGAATAGAAAATATAATGCCATCTCATAACTAATTCTTTGATATTAATAAATGACCCATATAAATTAATTTAATTACTAATCTATCCAATAAAATAATCCTACACACAACTTGAGTTTTACACTAATTAAATAATGGTTTACAATAATGTCAAGAAATGAAAGCATTGAACCACCAACGAAACAGATGTTTCCATTACCTGTGGATGCAACGCAATAACAGCAAATGCAAATGCAAGAATCATGGTCATGACAAGAAAGAAGACGTTGAGACCAGAGTCTTGGCCAGAAGGATTGAACCAAATAAACAGAATTCCTGATAACGTAAAGGCTATAATGTAGCAAACAACTGGTATAGCAAATAAAGCATAATACCTGAAAGCAAACAAAAGAAGGTTATAATAAGCCAAACAAAATCTGGGATAGGGACATTGATGACATATAACAACTAGAATCAACCATTTCTGCTCATCTTTAGCGACCCATGCATCTTTCCATGAGTGTGTGGCATCTAATAATATATGATCACTTGAACCAATAAAAATAAACCTGCTCCAAACTTTGATAGAATGCCTGCAAATAGGGTGATTTTGTAACAACCAATTATGAATTAGTCTTCTGGAAAACAAGTACAATTTTTTACAGTTTCAAATAGAGTTGGAGGAGATGGGTGGGATAGCAAAAAATGACAATGAGGACAGGACACCATGTGAAAAAATGAGAGCCAACTGTAGCCACTGATTAAACTATACTTATGGTGAATTATAAGACTTCTAAGATGCCCCAAGCATGTTGCACAAACCATAAGAGGCTACTCCATTCTAGACAGAAATTCCTCCTATGCACAATGACAATCACAACATTGGGTCTCATTTTCCCAATAATCCAATTATCCAATTCTTCCAAAGGGCATTTCCGAATAATAGCATGGGAACACTTTTTTTTGTTACTTTGCTAATGCTACATGTGACATACATATATCAAAGATAGTGTCAAAAATGCTCCAACTATCAAGCTTGGAACCAACCAAAAAAAAAAAACAAAAGAATTAAATGCTCCAAAACAAAATGTCATATATGGAGGTAAAGCTGACCATAAATTGTTATGACTTTGTATGGCATGAAAAACATAAGGACGGTGAGCAAAGCCCAAATCACAAGTGTTGGTGATACTTACAAATAAAACACTAGATAATACACAAAATAAAAGTTACAACAATTAATATAAGGGTTGAGGCGCGGGAAATTCGCTCTCTTTAAGGAGATTCAAGCCCTCCGCGGTTAGGCAATGCCTCACACCGGTGCAGCAGAAAAATCTTGACTTGTCCCCCCAGGATACAACAGCCCGACTAAGTCGTATGGTTAACCAATACTACATAATTTGTTGAACCCAAAGCTTTATCACACACACCCTGATAATTTCACTCAAGACATAACAACACAACCAAAACTTCTTCTCTCTTATGTGTCTCTAAAGATAGGACACAAGTTAATATATATATATAGAAATCAAAATTAGTTAGACAAGTTCTTGGTGGGGAAGAAACGGATGAAGACAAGGAATGGATAAGTCTTGGTGGACTTGACCAAGACTTGGATAAGATAAGATTGGTGGATAAGTTATGGAGACTAAGACCAAGACCTTGGACGACTTGGAAGGCTTAACAAGGAAGAAAAGAAAAGAAAACCAACCTATAACACATTATAATATTAAAATACCTGCTAACATTCCCCCACCTATTTTAATATTATAGGTAACAAAAACTAAGATTATTAGGCAAATAAGGATATTATGCATCATGGTAGGTGTGCTCTGCATTGAACCTCCATTAGTGAAACAATAATATCTACTCCAGAGCCAATAGTATGCTCAGCATTGAACTATGACTACTTAAGGGAAATAAATAATTATTGCACACACATAATATTCCAGGTGTTCACAAAAGCTTTAAAAGCTAGCACATTACGGCCTTGTGCGATCCCAGGATTCATGAGTGTGTTTGAGAATTAGCCCAAATCTCATAGGTAGCGGCCCCACTACCACACTCACATAGGTGAATTCTGTCAAGGGTGCTCCTGTAACTATGACACCCCACTCAATAAGAGCTACAAAAATTCATTAAGAGTTTTTTAATAACTCAACCTCTACAACGTTACAAGATAAATGATCCAAAGGTCACAAATCTTTCATGACCATTTTCATGAAAAACTTTTCATGATGAACCTCGGCCATTGCCCCAGGTGATTAACCATAAACCGGTACTTCCCATCTATCCGGTTTTATTTAGTTAAGGAATTTTTATTATAGCTTGGTCAAAATTGGGTGATTGTTTGCTCGGTCTTTGAGCCTCACCGACAGTTTTGTGGAGTGGGCCTGGTCGGTCCTAGTTTGTTTGTATCTACGAGTTGGTCTATTCTGGGGAGGGAAAGCAATCCTTGGGACAAGCTTTGTTTAAGTCTGTGAAATCCACACAAACACGCCAAGTTCCATTTTTCTTCTTTACAACTATAGTATTCGACAACA